GCCTACAATGTTGCTAAGAATCCAATTTTAAGGACTGTTCATACCCGTGAAAATTTCAAAATTAATAATTATAATAATTCGAGGTTTAGATATAACGCTTTATCACAACCAAGTTCGTAATTCGTCTCAACGCAGTTCACAGATTATTATTATCCGTCGTTATAGGTCCTTTGCAACCAGCCAATATCTTTCTCAACTCCCTGGGGAGCATACAGACGGTGCTGCCATTTCAACGCTTACAGCAAGCATTCAACAAGTATAGCACTGCCCAACCACGTACTCATTTACAGCTGAGTCGACTGGAACAAGTGGGGTAAAGTAACTTCGTCAAAGCGAAGTAGTGGTAGCGTCCTACGGTCCAGGTACAAAGTGGCAATGTTTACCTGTGTAACCGAGACTGTGTTGTAAATTTACACGTGTCGATAAAGGTCGTTTAAAAACCCCACAAAAAAACATTTCTAAATTTAAGAAAAGTATAGACAGAAAGAAACGCTTATAGATGTAGCTAGAGTATAGAATCATACTAAAAAATCTAATTTTATGTTCAAACACGAAACCGTATATATTGTCAAGCCATTCCTTAATTTACACCAACCACGATTGTTATCGCATTTGTGCGCAAGGAATGATCGTCTAATTATTTATCGTTCGCACTTCGTGCATACATCGTTCACACACCGTGTACACATCGTGCGCACACCGCACATCGTGTAACGTTGTGCGATCCAACAACTGTATCATTGGATTTTTTTATTCAGACTGAAATATTTGGCTTCTCTTTCGCAGAATGTCTTTGTTTCAACAATTGATGATTTTACCGATACGTAATGTACTTTAACGTGTACAAATCTATCATTTGTGTCGGGTTACAGGACAATTATGTTAAAGAAAGAGCAGCTGATTGCAGGAGTGCATATACTCATGTTAACATGACCTGATCGAAAAGATAATAGAAAAGAGAAATATCAAACTGACAAAAAATGTATAAAGTGGTACAATGGTGGTAATGTGAGTGGTGGGTGGTAGTGGTGGTGAAGGTGGCCGTGTTAGAGGTGGTTATGTGAGTGGTGGAGGTGGCAGTGTTGGAGGTGGGAATAGTGATGATAATGGTGTTTGTGTTGGTGGCGGTGTTGGAGGTGGTAATGATGATGGTGTTGGTGAGTGTAGAGGTGGTGGAGTTGTTGGTGGTGATGAGGATGATGTTGGTGATGGTGGTGGTGGTCTTGATGGTGTTGCTGGTGTAGGAGCTTGTTGTGGTAATGGTGATGGTGATTTTTGTGGTGTTGGAGGTGGTAATGGTGATAGTTATTTTTGTGGTGTTGGAGGTAGTAATGGTAATTGTGTCGGTGGTGGTGTTTGAGGTGATGATGGTTATGGTGGTGGTAGTGGAGGTGTTGGTGGTGGTGGTGCTGTTTGAGGTGATGATGGAAATGATGGTGGTGGTGATGGTGTTGGTTGTGGTGATTGTGATGGTGGTGGTGGTGGTGTTGGATGTGTTGATGGTGATGGTGATGGTTGTGATGGTGATGGTGGTGATGATAATGATGGTGATGGTGGTGATGATGGTAATGGTGGTGATGGTGATAGTGGTGATGGTGATGGTTATGGTGATGGTGATGGTGATGGTGATGGTGCAGGTGGTGATGGTGGTGGTTATGGTGATGGTGGTGATGGTGGTGATGGTGGTGGTGATGGTTATGCTGATGGTGGTGATGATGGTTGTTGTGGTGATGGTGACGGTGGTGGTGATGGTGATGGTGATGATGATGATGATGGTGGTGGTGGTTGTGGTGGTGGTGGTGGTGGTGGTGGTGGTGTTGGAGGTGGCAGTGGTGGTTGTGATGGTGATGGTGTTGGAGGTGGTAATGGTGGTGGTGGTGGTGGTGGTGGTGGTGGTGGTGGTAATGGTGGTGGTGGTGGTGGTGGTGGTGGTGGTAATGGTGGTGGTGGTGGTGGTGGTGGTGGTGGTAATGGTGGTGGTGGTGGTGGTGGTGGTGGTGGTGATGGTGGTGGTGGTGGTGGTTATGGTGGTGGTGGTGGTGGTGGTGGTGGTTATGGTGGTGGTGTTGGTAATGATGGTGATGGTGATGGTAATGGTGATGGTGATGGTGGTGGTAATGGTGATGGTTGTGGTTGTGNAGGTTTTAAAAAACGCGTAAATGCAATAAAATTTTCAACGTCAAAGAAGAAAGAAGACTAGCTTGAGAAAAGGTG